TTCCCTTTCTTGCAGTTTTAGGAAGGAAGGACCACATGGTTTTCAGCACTGAAGAGGCTTCCCCTCCCTGGAGGAGATGCCAGGTGACAATTCCTACCCAGGGTCCCAGGACTGGCTGAGGATTCCCCGCCTCGGAGCAGTGGAGGGGAAAGCTGTTCAGGGTGTGCGTGTGCGTGCGTTTAATATATTTTTTAACTGAGGTGAAGTTCATACAACATAAAGTTAACATTAACCATTTAAAAGTGAACAGTTCAGGGAATTCCCTGGCGGTCCAGTGGTTAGGAATCTGCGCTTCCATTGCAGGGGACATGGAACTTAAGATCCAGCATGCATCTCGGCCAATTAAAAAGAAGAAAAAGTGAAAAATTCAGTGACTTTTTTTTTAATAGAAAGTAACTCTTTTTAAAAAAATATTTATTTATTATTATTTATTTATTTATTTTGGCTTCGCTGGGTCTTAGTTGTGTCAGGCAGGCGGGATCTAGTTGCCCCCTGCATTGGGAGCGCAGAGTCTTACCCACTGGAGCACCAGGGAAGTCCCAACAATTCAGTGACTTTTTTTTTCTTAATATTTATTTTATTTATTATTTAATTAATTAATTTATTTGGTTGTGCTGGGTCTTAGTTGCGGCAGGCAGTCACCTTAGTTGCGGCTTACAGGCTCCTTAGTTGTGACATGTGAACTCTTAGTTTCGGCATGCATGTGGGATCTAGTTCCCCCACCAGGGATCGAACCTGGGCTGCCTGCATCGGGAGCGTGGAGTCCCAACCACTGAACCACCAGAGAAGTCCCAATTCAGTGACATTTAATACATTCACAGTGTTGTACAACCATCACCTCTATCTAGTTTCAAAACATTTTCAGCACCCCAAAGAATCCCTGTACCCACTAAGCACTCACTCCTCATTCCTCCTCCTCCCAAACCCCTGAAAACCACTAGCCTTCTGTCTATAGATTTACCTCTTCCAGACATTTCATGTAAATGGAAGCAAACAATATGTGACCTTTTGTGTCTGGCTTCCTTCACTTATTGTGATGTTTTTGAGGTTCATCCACATTGTGGCATGCATCAGAATTTCATTCCTTTTAATGGCAGAATATTATTCCATCATAGGGATAGACCATATGTGTTTATCCCTTTCATCAGTTGAACTGCATCCTTATGCTTTACCCTCTAGACACATCGCATGCCCCATCCCAGTTCTGGGAGCTGATTCCAGGAAGCACCGAGAGGGAGAGAAGTGAGACAGGGAAGGGAGAAGAACCAATAAAGGGTGCGTTAATGGGCAGGGTACCATGTTGGACAACAGGGCCTGTTTCCCTGGGGGTCCCCTGAGAGCCTGTGTGGGGTGCAGGTCACTGTGACTCCAATGGAGGGCAGAGAGCCTGAGGCATTTATCCACCAACGTCTGTCCTTCCTGGTTGAGGGAAGCCCTCAGGACTTTAACTCTCCCCACGTTTCCAGGGTGAGCCTGTGTTGGGTTGAGTTGGAGAGCGCCCTCAGGTAGAGAAGAGGAGAGGTGCAGGTTAGAGCTCAGGTGAAGCAGAGGATGTAACCAGAGTCAACAGCCTCTGGGACACTTACGTGCGTGATGCTTGATTCAGGCTGGTCAAACATGCACATGCCTTATAAATATCAATTCATGGATTCCTCATGACAGCCCCATGAAGCAAGTGTTGCTGTCACCCCCATTTTACAGATGGAGAAACTGAGGCATGGGAGAACGGCAAACAGCTTGCACAAGACGACACAGCAAGTCCTAGCAGTGTAGGATTCAAACCCAGAAAGTCTGTGCTTGTCACGACCACTTACGACTCTTGCCCACTCTGTTTTGCTTCCTTTCGTGCCTTCCATACTTACTGAGCACCAACTCGACCTGGCTGGTCTCAGCTTGGGGATCACCTCCCCTAAGAAGCCTTCCATGACCATCCATCAAAAGTAGACCCCTCCAGGGCTTCCCTGGTGGCACAGTGGTTGAGAGTCCGCCTGCCGATGCAGGGCACACGGGTTCGTGCCCCAGTCCGGGAAGATCCCACATGCCACGGAGTGGCTAGGCCCGTGAGCCATGGCCACTGAGCCTGCGCGTCCGGAGCCTGTGCTCTGCAACAAGAAAGGCCGCGATAGTGAGAGGCCCGCGCACCGCGATGAAGAGTGGCCCCCGCTCGCCGCAACTAGAGAAAGCCCTCGCACAGAAATGAAAACCCAACGCAGCCAAATAAATAAATAAATAAAATAAATTTATTTAAAAAAAAAAGTTTCTCTCAAAATACAAACTTTTCAATAATAGATGCTTTGACTCACTCACTGTCACATTCTAGAATTGTCCCTCAAATTACTTCCCTCTAATATAATTTTTGTTTTTTTCTTTTTGGATTTAAAAAATTTTTTTTAATTGAAGTCTGATTTATTTGACATGTTTCAGGTGTACAGCAAAGTGATTCTGTTATACACACACACACGTGTGTGTGTATGTATATATTCTTTTTCAGATTCTTTTCCATTATAAATTTTTACAAGATATTGAATATAGTTCTCTGTGCAGTTTTGGGTTATTTTTAGAGGTCAATTCTGATCCCCTTACAAACTCTGCTCCTGGCTCATTTGTTGATTGAATCAGTATTTACTGCACCCCCTACCAGGAGCAGGGCTCTGTGACCACACCGGGGAAGATGGGGAAGGAAACTGAGTTCCCACCCTGAAAAAAAACACTGAGTATTTCTGGCAGTGTGAGGAGGGTTTGCAGCATTTAACTTACTTCTTTATCTTCCTCTTGACCTCTATCATAGCCAACATTTCCCGAGGTCTTACTCTCTGTGAAGCATGGCATTGGCATTGCTACTTTCATCCTCAAAACAGACCTCTGAGCAAAATACTATTATTAGTGCTATTTTTATCATCCCCATTTTACAGATGAGGAAACTGAGGCCCAGGGCTTAAGTGATTTGTCCTAAATCACGCTGCTGGTGGGTAAATAATGGTAGCAGGATCTGAACCCAGGGAGTTGATATTAGAACCTACGCTCTTACCCACTATAGGAGACTCGCTATACTGGAATTTTTGATTGTCCAGAAAAACCCCCAAGTTCTCTGTCATTGCATGTCCTTCTATATATTCACTCAGTAAACATTTGCCAGGGACTCTCTGTCTGTTGGCAAGGCCCCAGTGAGGCCATGAGCAGGGTATGGAGATGAACCAGAGTAAACTCTTGCCATAGAATTTGGGTAGTTTGGGGGAAGGACCAGGATTTTGGAGCCAGATCCTGGACTCAAATCTTGGCTTGGTCAGTAATTAAGGTTGCCAGATTTAGCAAATAAAAATATAGGTCACCCAGTTAAATTTAAATTTCAGATAAACAGTGAATAATTTTTTAGTATCACTATGTTCCATGCCAGGTTTTGTTGTATTTTATCTGGCAACCTTACAGGTAATTGCTTTGTGACCATGAGTACTCACTCAATCTGTCTGATCTCAGATTTCCTGTGTTCAAAATGAGGATAATGATCCCCATTTCACAAGGTTGCTTGGAGGAGTGAAAGAGCACCTTTATGTAAAGTACTCGGAATGCTTCAGCTTTTCATAACTGGTCCATTTCCACAGACAGCCCACTCCAAACTGCTCCATGCAGTAGCTGGGGTTGAGGGACTTTTAAAATCAGCTCAGGCCACAGCCTACTTAAGACCCTTTGAGGTTCCCACAGCTCCTAAACTAAAGCCCACAGGCGTCTGGATGTTTTCTAAAGTCCCGCAGGCTGTAGGTGGTGTCCAGGACAGAGACCCTTCTCAGGAACCCAGCCCAGGGGCTAACCCCATCCATATTGTTTTTCTCGCAACCCATATTCTCTCCCTAAAGTCAAGTGCCTGGGACGGTAAGTTCTCAACATGAAGGAGGTGGGAAAATGCACGGGGGATTTAGGGTGTGAGATGTTGTAATAATCCATTGTGATCCCACCAGATATATTTTGAATCCAAATGCCTCTCTCCAGCCTCTTTTCTCCTCTCTATCACGGCTGCCCTATCCAGGCACCACCACCTCTTGCCTGGATTATTTATTTGTTTGTTTGTTTATTTATTTTTGGCTGCATTGGGTCTTCATTGCTGTGCACGGGTTTTTCTCTAGTTGCAAGAGAGCGCGGCTTACTCTTCATTGGGGTGCAAGGACCTCTCATTGTGGTGGCTTCTCTTGTTGCAGAGCACAGGCTCTAGGCACATGGGCTTCAGTAGTTGTGGCATGCGGGCTCAGTAGTTGTGGCTCGTGAGCTCTAGAGCGCAGGCTCAGTAGTTGTGGCGCACAGGCTTAGTTGCTCCGAGGCATGTGGGATCTTCCCGGCCCAGGGCTCAAACCCATGTGCCCTGCATTGGCAGGTGGATTCTTAACCACTGAGCCACTAGGGAAGCCCTGCCTGCATAAGTTAAATAAACTTCTTTTTTCAAATTTAATTGATTTTAATTAAAAAAAATTTTTTTTGGCTGCACCGGGCAGCATGTGGGATCTTAGTTCTCCAACTTGGATCAAACCCGTGCCCACTGCAGTGGAAGCGCCCAGTCTTAACCACTAGACCGCCAGGGAAGTCCCTCTTTTTTTTTTTAAATTACATAATTTATTTTTTTATTTTTTGGTTAAAAATTTTTTTTATTTTATATTGGAGTATAGTTGATTAACAGTGTTGTGTTAGTTTCAGGTGTATCAATAAACTGCTGGCTGGTCTCCCAGCTTCCACATTAAAACTCACAAGAGCAAAATTTTTATTATGGAAACATTTCAAAAAATAGACAAAAGTAGAGAGAAGAAAATAATGAACATAATTTCAACAACAATCAGCTAATCAGCTTATGGCCAATCCAGTTTTACCCACTCCCGGGACCCCTGGGATTTTTAATTCTTCCACTCCAGGATTTCTTTTTTTTTTTTTTTTTAAGAATTTCAGCCTCAAGGACAGGATAATCTGACTTTTCATCAATTCCCCTGCAAACGTATTGTTTGTTATGGCATTAACTTTATTCCAAAATTTCATCAGGGATTTGCTTTTGAATCCAAAGTTTTGACACTCAAAACGAAAGTTTAGAGACCTTTAAAAAAATAAAAAGCCTCTCTTTTACAAATCCTGCAAATCAAAAGCCTTGGCTTTCAAGATTATCGTCTCTGCCATGAATTTCAAAAGCCTGCTTAGGAACTCATAAAAGCCAAGACTTTGGCACTTTCTTTTTTTGAATTGGTTTGGGTCAAGCTTCTCCAAGGGGTGTATCCAGAATGATTCAGGCCTCAGCCTCAATACTTGGTTTTGTGGAGAGAGAGGTCACAGGATTTCTCTTAAAAAGGGAACAAACAGCATTGCTGCATGTGCAGAAAATGTTACCCAGGACTATTTTTATTGTTGTTCAAATAATAATTTTAATGAATTTAAGTGATTTCTCAGAATGTTCACAGATGTGAAGTCCACAACCCTGTTTTTCCATAGACTTTTAAAGCTCTTTGAGTACAATTTCTCCTAATATAAACTTTTACAAGACCCTAACTTCCAAGTTTGAGGGGGTTATTTTCTATTTAATATTTCAATATGCTGGGTGTTTCTGCAAGAGTAGCTTGCTTCTCAGGGCTGTGCACCAGTGCACCCTTGCAAACCAGTGTCCTGGATGTCACCTAGAGTCTCATGTCATTTGAAAATTCTGCTTAGCTTTGCATCATCTGATTTCCTTGGTCATAAGCATTGGCATTAATGTTGAAGTTAGCCACCTGTTTTTAAAAAAAAAAAGTAAGATTTTATTTTTAGGCAAATCCACTGAAATCTCCCAATATTTTTCAAACCAAAAATCACTAGAATCAGGACTTACCCTCAGGCCTGGACATGATACAGACAAACCGAAGGGGAAGGAAGGATGGTTAGTGGTGAGAACCACTTACTGAGAATAGAATCGCTGGTGTTTATCCTTAGCTCAGCCAACAGCTTCCCTGGTGACCTGATGTGCCAACGCTGGGTTCAGTTACCAAATGGGCAGTTTTCCTGATGACAAAATCAGAATATACTGAGTCCTCAAAGCCAGAGGCAAGAACCCTTCTGTTTTTTCTAAAGTGGCCCAAATTATCACCACTGGGTATGACTTGATCTTTTTTTTTTTTAATAAAGTTACAACTTTTCTAGATTTACAGCAAAGTTGCAAAGATAGTAGAGATTTCCCATATAACCCACACCCACTTTCCTCTATGATTTTAAATGTCTTACATTATTCCCATATATATGCTACAGTTAATGAACCAATATTGATACATTTTTACTGAAGTCTATACTGTGTTCAGATTTCCTTAGTTTTTACCAAATGCACTTTTTCTGGTCCAGAATCCCATACAGGACGCACATAATTACATGGAGGCATCATGGCTCCCTAGATGCCTCTTGGTTGTGACAGTTTCTCAGACTTTCTTGGTTTTTTGTTTTTTCCATTTGAGATGTAATTCATATACTACAATATCCATTCTTTCAAAGTCTACACTTCAGTGGGTTTTAGTATCTTCAAAAATTGTGCAGTCATCACTACTAGTCCCTGAACATTTTCTTCACCTCTGTAAGAAAACACACACCCACGTAGCACTCACTCCCCATGGCCCCAGCCCCCAGCTCCCAGCAAACACTAATCTACTTTCTGTCTCTACGGATTTGCCTATTCTGGAAATTTCATATAAGTGGAATCATACAACAGGTGGCCTTTTGTGTCTGGCTTCTTTCTCTAAGAATGATGTCTTCAAGGTTCATCTGTGTTGTAGCAGGTATCAACCCTTTGTTCCTTTTTCATGACTGAATAATATTCCACTGAAGGGATATAGCACATTTTGGCTATCCAAAATGTGGATTTATCAATGATGGACATACTCACTTTTGGCTGCTATGACTTCCCTTAATAACTTTAAGGAGTACTGCTTAGGTGTTTTGTAGAATGTCCTTCACATGTTTTGCATGATGATGCTACTGTTATGGGTTCTGGGGAGGAAAACCATAGAGGTAAAGTATCTTCTCATTGCCCGCATCGAAGGTGTATGCTACCAGTATGATTTCTCACTCTTGATGTGAACTTTGATCACCTGGCAGAGATGGTGTCTGTCAGATTTCCACACTGTAATGTGCCCTAATTTTAATAGACCGTTGCATCAATTTCCTCTTTGGCTGTGTGGTTGTAATTCTGATATTAACTTTTGCTGCATAGATCTATTCAAAGGAAGGCTGGTTTTAACTTATTTGATTTGAATTCATGCTTTAAAGAGAGACCTTTTATTTTTTTCAGATAGAATACATTTAATTACATTAAAATATCACACTGAAGTGATTTGTAGAGATTTTTAAGCAAATATTTAATATGCAGTGTTGGTGGGGATGTAGAGAAACAGACATTTCATAGGCCGTCTGGAGTTAGGGTCAAGATGGGGAGGAAGTTTGACATTTCGCACCCAAAGTCTTAAAATGTGCCACCTGAATCCATCAGTTCTATGTTTAGAAATTTATATGAAGAAAATAAATACATATGCCAAGATTTGACCAAAACAAACAAACAAACAAAAAACCTCAATCCAACTCAGTACGGTATATTAGTAGGAACCAAAAATCGAAAATAAACTAAGTGCCCCAAATAGAAAATTAGCTTTAAAATCGATGACATAACCCCACAATCCAATGCCAACCAACCATTTAAAAGGATGTAAAAGTGTGAGTAGCTAATCACAATTTATGGCAGGGAAAAGAAGATGAAAAACAGCGCTGATAGTAAAATTCTAATTTTGTAAAACAAATGTATATATGTATATGCAGAGAAAAATAATGGAAGGATATGTATGAAAATATTACATTTGTTTTTTGAGTTGTGGGCCAAGAGTTTGGTTTCTTTCCATTTATTTGTATTTTTACATTTCCTTACAATGACTATGTTTTGATTTTGTGATAAGAAAAAATTAGTTTTAATTTTTTTTTTTTTTTTTTTGGCACGCGGGCCTCTCACTGTTGTGGCCTCTCCCGTTGCGGAGCACAGGTTCCAGACGCGCAGGCTCAGCGGCCATGGCTCATGGGCCCAGCCGCTCCGCGGCATGTGGGATCCTCCTGGACCGGGGCACGAACCCGTGTCCCCTGCATCAGCAAGCGGATTCTCAACCACTGCGCCACCAGGGAAGCCCTAGTTTTAAGTTTTAAAGTTATTTTTGATCTACTACATTGAATAATGTGATTTCTATGTATTTAGCCATCAAAGTGCACTTTAGAAAGGAACCTGACAAATAATTATATCACATCACACTAGGCCAATCCCAGCTCTATTGCTTTTTCCTTTTTTCCACACCCTGAGGCATGCAGGATCTTAGTTCTTAGCTCCATGACTGGGGACCAGGGATCAAAACCCCACCCCCCAGCCTCCACCCAGTGGAAGCGCGGCGTCTTAACCACTGGACCGACAGGGAAGTCCCTACTGCTTATTTTCTGTATCAGCCAAGGTCCCTGCACCAGAGAGGTGGCCGCTCAAATCGGGTGAGTTGAGGAGAGAGCAGTACAGGGGATCATGTTGTACTTGGAGGCCAGTGACAGCTGAGTTACCTCTCCTGTGCTGGAAAGGCAAGGAGAGGGAGTGGTCACCAGTAGTCAGAATGGGTAGCCTGCTGCCACCCCACCGGTAAGGAGCTGGGGGAATAAGTACCCAGACTCATGTCCCTCCCTCTGCTCTCTTTTTGGGCTCCCATCATCTAGACTACTGGAGATGAGAGGGCATATCCCAGTTTGTGGACATGGGCTACACTGGTCAGCCTTCCAGTGCTGGTAGCCGAGAGAAGAATGTGCAGAGTGGACCTGGAACGGTGGCCAGAGGACAGCCAGCCAAGGGCCATGGGAGCTTGTTTGAGTTGTTTAACCTCTATAGCATAGTAAGAAATATATTTGGTCTTCATCCCTGCTTCCTGGCACAGATCTAAAACCCTCGGAATTTCCTGAGTGACAGGGGTGGCTTCTGTTATTCACAAGAAGGCCCTTTCAATCACACCTGAGTTTAGGCTAATGAGGCGGCTTAGGGTGGGGCCCCTAGACAGCCTCAGGATGGGGCTGCTCACCAGAAAGACCAAGTGGCGGGAGGGTTAGAACTCTTAGCACCCAACAGTCGACCTCCAGGAAGGGGTGGAGGGGAGCTGGGGATTTCAGCTCTATCAAAAGTCTTGAACAGCACCCTCTTTCTCTCTCTCCCTCCGTTGAAAGAAACCAGCTGCCAGGTCTCGAGTTGCCCCACGGGGAGTTAATTAATATAATTATCACCCAAACTGTTTCCTTTCCCAAAGGAGATTACAATGGGATCCCCGCTGTAAGCCCTCCCGTCATACATACCCCTCCCCTTTCCACGTCCCCAGCAACATTTGATCTGTTTTCTGTGACTATAGATTAGCTTGCATTTTTTCAAAACTGTATGTAAAGGAAATGAATCATAAAGCACGTACTCTTTTTTGTCTGGCTTCTTCCGCTCAACACAATTATCTTGAGATTCATCCGCGTCGTATTAGGTACCAATAGTCCATCCTTCGTATCGCTGTGGATCGCCGGGTCCACTGTAAGGACGTACAATAGCCCCTGTATCTTTCACCTGTTGATGGACATTCAGGTTGCCTTCAATTTGGGGCTGTTACAAATAGAGCTGGTATAAACATTTGTGTATAAATGTGCACGTAGGCTTTCTTTTCTCTCTGATAAGTATCTAGGAGTGGCTAGGTCTTATCATAAGTGTATGTTGAATTTTATTTTTTATAAATTTATTTACTTATTTATAATTTTTGGCTGTGTTGGGTCTTCGGTTGCTGTGCGTGAGCTTTCTCCAGTTGCGTAGAGCGGGGGCTACTCTGCTTTGCGGTGCGCGGGCTTCTCACTGCGGTGGATTCTCTTGTTGCGGAGCACGGGCTCTAGGCGTGCGGTCTTCAGTAGTTGCGGCTCGTGGGCTTGTAGCTGTGGCTCTCAGTCTCCAGAGCGCAGGCTCAGTAGTTGTGGAGCACGGGCTTAGTTGCTCCGCGGCATGGGGGGGATCTTCCCGGACCAGGGCTCGAACCCGTGTCCCCTGCATTGGCAGGAGGACTCTTAACCATTGCTCCACCAGGGAAGTCCCCCCCATATGTTGAATTTTAAAAGAAACTCTTGAATTATTTTTCAAAGTGATTACACCAGTTTCCATTCCCACGAGCACTCTACCAGGATGCTTAACGATCACTGCACTAACTCACTAAATGCCAGAGGTCCCTCTCACTGTGATAACCCAGCCCCCAGCCCCCTTTACAAACACCCCCTGGGATGGGGCAAGTGCTGTCACTGTTGAGACCCACTGGACCAGAGGATCTTTGGTTCCAGCGCTAGGCAAGGATCTGCCCCCATTTAGGAAAACCTATGAACCCCCATATTTCTGAACTGAATTCATGGTAGCCTGAGGTCCAAGATGATCACAAGAGCAAGAGGTAACTGCTAGTAGCACATCTTGGCTTGGTCTTGCATTCTGTGGTTCTTCAGTATCTGAAAAGACCAAAATGGTCTTTATTTAAAGAACTAAGGTTTACATGCAGTGGCAAAACCCAAGTGGTGGTTAGAGCCTAGAGTCAGCTGACCCATTTGCTTTCTATTCTTAATTTTGTCTTTGGCCCTGGAGCCTCCCAGAGCCTCCCTGGGGAAAAAATAAGAGGTGTTTGGTAATCTTGCGCTGAAAGCGGGTACTTAAGTCAAAAGTACACCTGAACTCAGCTAATTTGCACTAATCGCCTATGCCAGCCGCGGATCAGCCAGAGAGGAAAACGTCCTCACGATGCAACCACAAACACGCATTGCGGGAGCTTCCCACATCAAACACTATTTTGATTTCTAAAACCTTCATCCCCTGCCCCCTACTAAACTGGAGAGTGCATCAGAATCCCCTAAGGGCTGTTAAGACCCAGAGCGCCTGGTCCCACCCCTAGCGATTCTGATTTCTTCTATCTGGAGAGGTACCTGAGAATTTTCGTTTCTAACAAGTTCCCACGTGGTGCTGATGATGCTGGGCCAAGGGTCACACTCTGAGACTCACCTGCCGATTGGAACCTTTTCTTTGACAATGGGAAGTTCAACCACGGCAGTGATTTTTCAACTGATGTGATTTTTCCCCTCAGCGGACAAAATCCGGAGACATTTTTGGTTGTCATAACTGGTCCTGGCCATTAGTGAGTAGAAGTCAGGGATGCTGTTCAATATCCTATGACGCATAGGACAGCTATGATTATTAGAAATTAATTAGAAATAATTATTTGACCCAAAATGTCAGTAGTGCCAGTGTTGACAAACCCAGCACTATAGGAGAATGCTTAAATAAATTAGAAGATTCCCACAAGGAATAAATATTATGCAGCCATTAAGAAGAATGCTCCTTGTACAACAATAGTCAATATTCTGTAAATGAAAGTAACCTTTTAAAATTGTATAAAATATTAAAAAATTTTTAAAAAAGAAGAATGCTCCTTATACTATATATAAAAGAGATAAACAACAAGGACCTACTGTATAGCACAGGGAACTATATTCAATATCTTGTAATAACCTATAATGGAAAAGAATCTGGAAAAGAATATATATATTCTTTTTCAGATATATATATATTTACATATATCTGAAATATCTGAATCACTTTGCTGTATACCCGAAGGTAAACACAACATTGTAAATCAACTAAATGAGAAAAAAAAAAGAATGGTCCTTAGACCTTTTTATAACTTGGGGAGTTGTTCATGATATGATGTGCGGGGAAAAGAAAAGGATAAAAGAAGTATATTCAACATATCAGATGTTTTATTTAATTTTCTTTGTACTTTACCACTACCTAGAATTATCTGGTTTGTTTATATGTATACTTATATATCGTCTGTCTCCATTTACTAGGTTGTAAGCTCCTGGTATTCTTTAGAAGAGCATTAAATAGTTGCTGAGCACGTGAATAGGTAAATGTAAGTAAAATCAGTGGTGTGCTGGTAAATGTTTAACAACCAACTCTCAGAAAAGAAAATCTCTGATTTGTCACATGTGCCAGTTTCCATGGTGGCTGATTTCAAGCTACCTCCAGCTTAAGAAGAGATGAATTAGAGGGCTAGCTCCTGGGCTAGTTGATGTCCTCCAAGGATGAGTAGAATAACCTGGCTATTAATATGATGCAGCTCCCAAATTCTGGTCTCAAGCCAGCTTCCAGATTCCTGCTTGAGAGCATCAGTTGAAGAAATTATGTTAATCGTGGCAGGAGTCTGGGGAATGATGCATAGAAACATTCTGGGTATTGGGGACCCATAAAGTGTAGGTGTTCAGGCGGTGAACTGCATGAAGGTGGCACATCCGGGGCGTGTGCCATTTACATCACAGACACACGTGAGCTTGTATGAAAGAATGCAGGCAGGCTCAGAGATTCTTGTCTTCTGAGTCCTGAGGCAGGGGGGTATACCCTCCTTCATAAACCCCATGGACTGCTGGCCATGTACACATTCTGGAGAGCACACAGACACACGTGGTCCTGTTATATATACACGTACGTGGCTGGGCATCCCCTAAGCTCCACCTTTCTCAGAGGCCCAATTCCGCTCCCTCAACCCTGACTCTGAAGCTGACATGATTGTTCCACCTGGGGGAGAGGGCAGTGGGGTATCACCATTGCTGGTGATACATATATGTCCTGGGACGCCTTCAAGTGGGTAAAAGTATTTGACCCTCAGCCAGGGCTGTTGTACACCTGGCTACAGGAATGTACTTAAAACTGTTTAAAAAAATCATTTGAGGACTTCCCTGGTGGCACAGTGGTGGAGGGTCCGCCTGCCAATGCAGGGGACATGGTTTCGCTCCCTGGTCCAGGAAGATCCCACGTGCCGCGGAGCAACTAAGCCCGTGTGCCACAGCTACTGAGCCCGCGAGCCACAACTACTGAAGCCCGCGTGCCTAGAGCCCATGCTCTGCAACAGGAGAAGCCACCGCAATGAGAAGCCCATGCACCGCAACAAAGAGTAACCCCCACTCACCGCAACTAGAGAAAGCCCACGTGCAAGAGACCCAATGCAGCCAAAAATAAAATAAATGAATTTTTAAAAATCCTTTGAGGGGCTTCCCTGGTGGTGCAGTGGTTGAGAGTCCACCTGCCGATGCAGGGGACATGGGTTCGTACCCCAGTTCAGGATATCCTCCTTTCTGTTCCACCATCCTTGGCATATAGCTTCCTTCCTTAAGGTTACCTCATGGTCAAAGACGGCTGCTGCAGCCCTTGCAATCTTGTTTGTGCTCCAGGTAGAAGGAAGAAGGAAGTAGCAAGTGGGCAAGTTAAGTCAGTTCCCTCTAAGTAGCTTTCCTGGAAGCCCCACCCAATGACTTCCTCTTATTATTTCATCATCCTTCCTTAATTTCAAGGGATGCTGGGAAATGTAGTTCTTAAGACGGACACATTAAGTTCCTAAAGCTGCCAACGTCCTTCTCTTCAAGGCCAGCTGGGCACGTTTGGTTTCCCACAGGTACGATCATTTGGTTGCCATCTTTGTTCCTTCCATTGGCCTGGAGGACATGATAGCCCTTGCTAAATTCACCCAGAAAAGCTTAAATGATGGCCAACAAAGCCCATTCTTCCTGAACACTGGAATGTCTCTAATAAAAAAAGCTCTCCTCCAAAATAAAATGGCCTTGGACATTATAATGCCTCAAAAGGAGCCATCTGAACCATTATCCCAATAAAATGTTGTGCTTTCATACCTGAAAAAAAGAAAAAGGGCACATTGCCCACTTGAATAAAATGTAGGCTCTGTTAGCAAAGAACAACTGTGGAATGATAATTGGGAAGGGAGCTAGCAGGCTCTGTTATATATATTATCCCATTCCGTGCTCAGTTTTGAGAGATCCTTAGGAAAATCCACCATTTCCCTCATGAGGTCTGAGATTCTGTGACACGTCTGGGTAAAAGATTTTTTGTCTCATAGATAACAGGCTAGCAGCACTATTTTCTATTGTTTGTTAAGGCAGGTAGAATTTACTTGCCCTAGGTTAGCTGTGTTTCATAACAAGGGGAGGAGAACATATAAGGCTTCCCATTTCTGTTAAAAATTTCTTTCTTTAAAACTTATCTTTGTTTTCAATCTGTGTTACTGTTTAAAACAAGAGTTTACCTTCAGTTTACCAAAAGAGGTAAGTGGGTTGTAACTGGATCCAATCATGAGCATGCCATTTATGCTCTCAGAAAGGCATCAAAAAGGGGAATCAGAACACACCTCTTCCACCTTCCTTCCCTACTTGCTGGAACACTCACCTCCTGTTTCTGTACAAGATGACTTTGGAAGGTGAGTTGTGGGCCTTCTGGGTCACCCTTGGAGTCTAGGACTTTTTGAACAATCAGAGAATCCCACCTTCATTAGAGAGCTGAATGCAGCCTGGGTGAAATCTAGATCTGGTGGTTTTAAAACATGTTCTCCATGGGACTTCCCTGGTGGTCCAGTGGTTAAGACTTCGCCTTCCAATGCAGGGGGTGCAGGTTCAATCCCTAGTCCGGGAGCTAAGATCCCACATGCCTTGTGGCCAAAAAACCAAAACATAAAACAGAAGAATATTGTAACAAATTCAATAAAGACTTTAAAAATGGTCCACATCAAATAAATCTTAAAAAAAAATAAAATAAAACATGTCCTCCAAATCTATGACACTCCTCTCTTCAATAGATGGGGTCTAATTCCCCCCTCTCCTTGAATGTGGCCCAGACAGTGTGTTGCGTCTAAGGAATAGAATGTGGCAGAATGATGCTGTGTGACTTTTGAGGCTAGGTCATGAAAAGGGTAACTTCTGCCTGGTATTCTCAGCTCACTCACTTTTGGGGAAGCCATGTCTTGAGGACACTCAAGCAGCCTGTGGAGAGCCTGAGGCTCTTCATCTGTTCATTTCACCATCCTGGTTCATTGAAAGATCAGACTGTGGACTGGGAATATGTGTCTTCTCAGTGAGATGTTTGGATTCCTTCTTCTCCAAGAGATCTTCTCACTAAGTCATCCCCCTCCTGCTGTCTTTGCTTCAGCAAAGGATGGTGATTCTGGAGACAGGCTGCCTGAGTTTCAATCCTGGTTCTACTGCCTACAAGCCGGGTGGTTTTTTTGCTTTTTAAAAATTTATTTATTTTTGGCTGTGTTGGATCTTTGTTGCTGCGCGTGGGCTTTCACCAGTTGCGGTGAGTCGGGCTACTCTTCGTTGCAGTGGCAGGCTTCTCTTTGTGGTGGCTTCTCTTGTTGTGGAGCACGGGCTCTAGGCACGTGGGCTTCAGTAGTTGTGGCGCACGGGCTTAGTTTCTCCGTGGCATGTGGGATCTTCCCAGACCAGGGCTTGAACCCTGTCTCCTGTATTGGCAGGCAGATTCTTAACCACTGCACCACCAGGGATGTCCGAGCTGGGTGGTTTTATATGAGTTATTTAACCTCTGTAAGCCTCAGTCTCCTCATCTGTAAAAGGAGACAATCGATGGATATACATCAGGGTTTCTCAACCTCAGCATTACTGACATTTGGGCCAGATAATTCTTTGTTGTGGGGCTGTCCTGTACATTGTAGGATGTTTAGCAGCATCCCTGGTCTCTACCCACTAGATGCCAGTAACAATGTCTCCCCTATCCCAGTTACAACAACCAAAATGTTTCTAGACATTAGCAAATGTCCCGTGAGGGGGCAATATCACCCCCAGTTGAGAACTGCTGACCTAAGTCATTTATTTCTGTGCATGGTGCTTAGTCAGCACTCGAGAAATGATCATCATGATTATTTTTCTCTCTTCTGATTGCAACAATATTAGATTTCAGCAACGTTTTTGCTAGGTGTTTTTTTTTAAGATACTGTTTGCATTTTTGTGACAAAATTATTTTTTAAAATGTATGCAAGATGGCTAATTTCATGTGATGTGAATTTTAACTCACTTTATTTTTTATTTATTTACTGTTTAAAATTATTTATTTATTTGGCTGTGCCAAGTGGGATCTTAGTTCCCCAACCAGGGATCGAACCCATGCCTCCTGCAGTGGAAGCAAGGAGTCTTAGCCACTGGACCACCAGGGAAGTCCCTGTATGCTGTTAAATGTTAAATAAAAGATGTTTTATTTTATCTTGTTATTAGTATTGCCTTTTGAATATGATTTGACTTTTCTTTTTTTTCTTTGACTTTTCTTATGTCTTTTGTCTCATGTCCTTGAGTCTAAATTTGACCTTTCTAGCAGTAATTAATCCATGAGACCACTTTTGCTGCCCACTGTGATGAATGCATGCATTATGTATCGTGAGAAGCTATTGGTATCCTTGATTCTCTTGACATTTCTGCTCGGTAGACAAATAGGTGAGGGAGGGCTTCCCTGGTGGCACAGTGGTTGAGAGTCCGCCTGCCGATGCAGGGGACACGGGTTCGTGCCCCGGTTTGGGAAAATCCCACATGCCGTGGAGTGGCTGGGCCCGTGAGCCATGGCCGCTGAGCCTGCGCGTCTAGAGCCTGTGCCCCGTAACGGGAGAGGCCGCAACAGTGAGAGGTCCGCGTACCACCAAAAAAAAAAAAAAAAAAAGGTTAGGAAAAAGATGGGCTGCCATTGTGGGGGGTTTTTGTTGTTGTTGTTGCCATTGTGGTTTTAATTCAATCACATTAACAATCTTGGAGTGGGGAAGGCCTTTTTAAGCTTGATGCAAAACTCAGAAGCTTTATTTATTAAAAAAAATTTTTTTTTGGCCACACCTTGAGGCTTGCAGGATCTTAGTTACCCAACCAGGGATTGAACCCGGGCCCTCAGCAGTGAAAGCACCGAGTCCTAACCACTGGACCGCCAGGGAATTCCTTCTGGTTACTTTAAATGGATTGAAGTTTCCAGATCTTAGCTGAAAGGTGTTATATTCACTGTGGCTCATACAGCTTCCCAATTCCAAGGCTGGAGGCTAATCCAGAAGCATTTTCCCAGGCCCCTTGAGTGCCAGTCTTTGTTGAATGATTTTGTGTGCTGGGATTGTAGGAGTTTGTTCTCTCCTCACTTATCATTTAATCCTGAGACTTTTAACCCCTTTTTTAACCCTATGACTTTCTAACATCATCTCCATTTATTATGCTCAGAGAGACTTAGTAATTAGCCCAAGGACACTCAGCTAGGAAGTGCCTGTACAATTATTTAGAAAGCAAGATGAGATGGCACCATCTCACCATCATCAGAAAGAGAATGTAGTTCAAGTCAAACCAGATCATTCCTGGTTCCTGGAGCCCTTTCTACTTCTGTGCCTTTGAATCTATGGGTCCCTCAACTCTGAGGGGCCTCTCCCTTCAGGGAGCCTTGCCTGTGCTTCATGGCTTAGCTACAACCCTTCCTCCCCCAGGAAGCCCTCCCTGATTCTCATCACTGGGAAATAGCATTTGGCACATGCTCATGCTGCGTTTCACAGTGGCCACTTGTGAGACTCACCCCACAGCTTTTGCAGGTTGGCTATGAGCACCCACCAGGTGTTGATGTGTAATAATGTTGCTTAGGTTTTAAAAAAGGCAGTTTAGAATGAAAAAAAAAAAAAAACTCATTTGCCAGTAGCCTGGTCTCCAGTCATTTTGTGTGTATGTGTGTGTGTGTTTGTGTGGGACAGAGAAAATGAGAGAGAGAGATTCATCTAAGACCTTGGTACCTCCCAGAAGAATCTCACTTATTCCAGAAAACGTTACAGTGCATTCAGATGATGATGATAACGATAATTATTTGCTGTAAAAATAACTGAAGATTTTTCCTATTGTATTGAAAAAACATTTTCCTATTATAGAATCAATAAATTGTTCTTGTAGTGCCTGTACAAATCAGACCCTAGGCTGTGTTCCTCTAATACTGAGTGGACAAGTGCCCTGCCTGCTGCTCCCTCCCATTCTGGTCGACCTAAAGAACTTGGGATTCCTCTACAAGCCTTACTTTTGCCTGGCATGTCCTTCCTGCCATGGCCTCCATCCCCCTTTCTTTCTAAACCTTATCTTTTTAAGGTTCAACCAGGAACAAGACTGCCAAGCTCCCTGCCCTCTAAGAACTTACTTTTTGGTGAAAGGAGACACATAAGTAATCATTTCAGATACTGATACAGGCTATGAAAAAACAAAACCAGGCAATAGGAGAGTGTGGAGGGTGGTGCTTTAACGAGGCTGGTCTGACAAAGGCTCTCTGCTCGCGGGCCATTTGAGAGGAACCTTGAGGAATGACGACGAGAAGGAAAAGATTCCAGAGAGAGAGGGAACTGCGAGGGCAAAGGCAGTTTCCGAGGAAACAGAAAGAAGGCCAGTGCGGCTGGGCAGCCCAAGCCAAGAAGAGACTGGCGTTGAGATGAACACAGAGGAGGCGGGGCCCGGTCCTGCAGGGACTTGTAGCCCACAGAGAGGAGGTCAGATTTTATTCCCAAGGTGATGGCTTTACAGCCAAATTGCTTTGTAGAAGGGTTTTCTCGCAGCTCGTGGGACTTCTCCAAGCCCCAGTGTCTCATGCCTCCGCCGCCAAACTGTGAGGGCCAGTTTTGCCTCTGTGCGGTCATCGCCCCTTTAAGTGGCGGCTTACTCCTCAGACCCTGAGCCCCTGGGGACGCCCCCGGCTGGGTGACCGCAGCGCGCAGCCCCGCGCCTGGCCCACAGCAGTCGCGCAGCCCGGGTCGGCGGAGGCTGACCGGGCGATTGCGCACGGAGGCCGAACAAGAACTCGGCGCAGAACTTTCCCCCTGGAAGCGGGGCCTCCCACTCGGCGCGGCCATGCGGATTCCGGTAGTAGGAGGCGGGGGGCGGGGGCTGGCACGTGAGGCAGGCGGCCGCCGCACGTGGCGCAGGAGTGTGCTTTTTTCGGGACAGGTGCGGGGGCCGCCAAGTTCGCGAAGGCGCAGACGCAGCCGGGCCTCGGCACCCCGTCTCCCACTCAGGTTTATTTTCAGATTCGCGGCCGCTGCGGTCTGGTCAAGGGAAGGTGTCCTCGGAGGGCGCCAGGGCGTCTTAGTGGGGCGGGCCAGAGGGTCCCCCACGCGCAACGCGCAGCGAGCCGCGTGCCTGCTGTCTGCTCAGCAGGCTGGTGGGAGCCCGCGGGCCTCGCATCTCGGAAATTTTTCTTTGGGCTCTGAGGCTCAACTTGCCCATCTAAGAAATGGGTCTGAAGTAAACAGCTGGCGAAGCACTTTGCCAACTTGGATTCAAGTTGGGCGTTTAATTCACTTTCTTCGATTCCCTCCTCCCTTTGGAAGCCCAAGGGGCTGGAGTAGCGGGATGCCACCCACCACACCCTTCCGTCCCCGCAGAGTGGTCACGGGAGTTGATTTTGCGTCTCCTACGGCCTGGAGGCACCGGATCAGCCCTCCTGTGGGGTGTGGGCTCAGAGCTCCGGGTCACGTGACTCCTGCCCACTGCCTCTGGCCAGCGAGCAAGTGCGCATGCGCAGTTCATTGTTTTTTTTTTTTTCTCTCTCTCCCCTCTCTCTCCCCTCCCCCTCCCTGTCTTTCCTCTCTCTCTCTCCCTCCCCTCTCTCTCTCCCCCTCCCCTTCCCTTACTCTCTCGCTCTTTACCTCTCCCTCTCTCCGTCCCCCTCTCTCCCCCCTTTCTCTCCCTCTCT